AACAAGTGTCCAGGGAATCCTTATGTAGGGAAGGCGGGTGCTGGAAGTGCCTCATGAGGCTCTGGGTACCCCGATGAGAGGGTCCCACATTCCCTCACGCCCCGGAGCTTAGTGTCAGTGACTGTGCCCACGCAAGCCCCTTCTTCCCAGGGCCCCTGTGTGCCAGCCACACGACCCGGGAAGGGAACTCGCCTCGGCTAGGCGGAAGCTCCGGGGCTGAGGCTGAGGCTGGGGCTGGGAGGTGACAGCTTGGCTCCCTGCGCCCTTCAAAAGTGAAGCAACTAGGGAAAGTTCCCGGAGCTGCCCCGGCTACCTGAAGCCGCCTCCCCACGCCCCCACACTCCCCGGCGGCCGCACGGACCTGAGATGGTCTCCTGGTATCCCTTGGTGAAGAACTGCATGGCGGTGGCCGCTCTCCAGGGCGTCTTGAGCAGCCCCTGCCGCTGGGGGTCCTCGCCCAGCGAGCGCAGGATGGACGAGTAGGCGGCCGCCAGGTTAGGGAGGTTCAGCTCGTTATCCTCCTCGCTGCGGGGCCGCCCTGCCTTCCAGGCGTCGGCCGACGGTGCGCTCTTGGCCTCGGGCAGCCGGGACTTCTCGGCTGGCCGGCTGGCCCCGGGCCGTGACAGCTCCTTCCCGGGGAACCCATTGGTGCACCTGGGTCCCCTCGGCTTCTCCGCCGGCAGCGGGCCCTTCTCCATGGACCCGGCGCGACTGCTCCTGAGACACCCAGAGGTGCTGCAAGCGCTGAGGCTCGGCTTCGCCGGCGGCCGAGACCTGTGGCCGTCACCGAGACAGGCGGGTCAGCCTGGAGAGATCCTCCAGGAGTGAAGGGCAGAGGCCAGCTGGGGAGCCCCGCCGCGCCTCTTTTTATGGCCGGGCGACTCTGCCGGCGCCGCGGGCTGTTCTCATTGGCCCAAGCCTCTTGCGTCACGGCTCTCTCCCCGCCCCTTCGTCCCGCCCTCCTGGTTGGCCCCTAAGCCCGGCGGTTGCACAAGACTAGCTTCAGGTTGGATCCCCTCCGCTTATGAAGGGAAGAACTGAGTCAGCAAAGCGACATGAGTCCAGGAAGCTGGAACCTCAACGAATAGAGACACCCGGTCCACCTCACTTTCTAAGGGCAAAGGGAACATGGTCGCAAAAAATGTTGTGGTCTGGTTGCCCTGTGAAAGATGAGTTAACAGGTGACCTTGCCTGGGGCAGGCAGGGTGGAGCAAATAAGCTGGTGATAAACAACTCTAGTACTCTTTAAAAACAAACCATTTTTTTTTTTACTTTTTAGTTATTTTTTTGAGATCAGAGTTAATTTCATTTCTCTTTTCCCTTTCATCCCTTCAAATCTTTCCCCCACCTTGCTCTCTCTCAAATTCATAGCCTCTTTTCCTTTTATAGTTGTTACATCTGTGTGTGTGTTCCCAAATACAGAAATACAACCTGCTCAGTCTGTATAATGTCATTTATATGTTTATGTTTTCAGGGCTGACCATTTGGTACTAGCCTGTTCTTCCCTGGGGAAGACTATCCCAATCTCAGCATCCCTTGGTTGCCTGTTATTCTTTATCTAGGGTTAAGGCCTCCTGAAGTCCTCCCATTTGCTATCTCCCCTCCCAACCTCCCACCCCCATGTCCGTCTGTGTTCACAAGTCTGTTGGTGTCATCCTTTTACTTTTTTTTTTTTAACCAAGTCTCACTATATAGCTGTCTGGCCTGGAATTCGATATGTAGACCACCAGGGAGGCCTTTAATTCACAGTGATCTGCCTGCCTCAGACGTCCGTCTGAGTGATGACATTAAAGGCATGTGCCCAGCCTCTCTCACGTTTTAAAGGCTGGAGAAGTTGTGACTTGAAAGTTGTTCAATGGTTTAAAATGAACACAACACCTACCACTCTAGAGAACCCTGTGGCTACTATCAAGGCATGAGTTACAGCACCTAGCACTTCTGGAGTCCCTCTGCCTAGGAAGATACAGTATTTGTGGGCTGCCAGATCTCTATGCCACTGTCTTAACCTCCCCTGACCTTGCCTTTCACAATGATTAGGGAAATTGGTTCTTTCATTACCCTGAATCTGGTGATGACCAAGAGGACGGGGGCAGCAGCTACATTCTCCAGCCTAACAGTGTGTAATACATCAGGAACTGCTCCTTGGCAAACTAAACAGTGACAAGAGGGGTTAGAGTGATGGCTCAGCAGTGAAGAGCACTTGCTGCTCTTCCAGAGGACCTAAGTTCGATTGCCACTACATTCATCAGGCAGCTCACAACCATCCAGGTCCAGGATATCCAATCCCTGTACCCTCCAGGGGCACTAGCAATCATACACACAAGCCCCCACACAGACACATACACATAATTAAAAATAATAAAAATAAATCTCTTAAAGAAGAGTAGATGAAGAAGTAGGCATTGATGTTCTTGAGATTTGCATGACTGAAAACCATCTTCTGACCAACAATTAGGATTCGTTTAGTTGTGAGTCATTTGGCCACAAACCTCCAGATGTGAGAAGGCACTCACTGATTGCCAATCACCCATCTCCTGCATAAAACTGCCTCCCTAACTCAACTTTCCCAAGGATGTTTCTGTAGACCAGGCTGGCCTCAAACTCAGAGGTCCGCCTGCCTCTGTATCCCAAGTGCTGGGTTTAAAGGTGTGCATCACCACCATCCAGCCTAAGATGGTGCCATCAGCTGAGTTCACCATTGCATTGCCTCACTTGTTTTTCTACTGATTAGCTTCTTGCATGTGATAAGCCTCCTGCTGGCCAACATTTGTGGTGGCCAGAACTTTGACCCTGGAAAAATTGATTTGCAAGTGAAAAAAGTTAGCATTTTCATTTAAAACACATTTGTGTCTTGTGGGGAAATAGGTTGGTCAATTTTAAGTACAAAGATCCATTCCCCCATGTGCGTACAAACTGAAATGCTATTGACCAACTGGGCTTTCTTGCTTGCTTGCTTGCTTGCTTTCTTTCTTTCCTTTCTTCTTCTTCTTCTTCTTCTTCTTCTTCTTCTTCTTCTTCTTCTTCTTCTTCTTCTTCTTCTTCTCCTCCTCCTCCTCCTCCTCCTCCTTCTCCTCCTCTTCTTCCTTCTCCTCCTCCTCCTCCTCCTTCTTTCTTCTTCTGACATAAGGTTTCTCTTTCTAGCCCTGGCAGTCCTGGAACTCACCCTGTAGACCAGGCTGGCCTCAAACTCAGAGATCTGCCTGCCTCCCAACTACCAGAACTAAAGGCATGTGCCACCACCACCCAGCTGGACTGGACTCTTAACCAGTAACATACGCTTTGATTCAATTGTTTTCTTTGAGATAGGGAAAAAAATAAGACTGCTTTGCTCAGTGGAGGGATTATGTCATAATTTCAAAGGTAAATTTTATCAGGCAACCAAATTAGTATTTATTTGTTTCAGAGAGTATCTTATGCTGATTCTCTGACTTATAAACAGGTATTAGTAAGCCTAAGACTGGACCAAGCAGAAGATAAGTCCCTGGAATTGCCCTGTGCTGATAAAGTCTAGCTTATGATTCATATTTATTGGACATCTATCCCCCCCCAAAAAAAAAAAACATTCAGGAAAGACAATGAACATTCCTTAATCTCAGAATCACCCTCTGAGGTGAACATGAGAAATGAGGCTTGGGGTATTATAGCTCAGTTGATAGAGTGCCTTCCTGGCACATAAAAAGCCCATGTTTCTGCCCCCAGAACTACATAAATCAGACATGCTGACACAAGCCTATCACCCCAGCACTGGGGAATGAAGGCAGTGGGATCTGGAGTTCAAGATCATTTTCAGCTATCTGGAGATTTTGAGAGTAGCTTTGGTTAAGTGAGACCCTCTCTAAATAAAAAAAACAAAACAGAAAATATGTAGAACACTTGCCTAGCATGCTTCAGCCTAGGCTCCATCCTGAACACTGCCCCCCCCCAAAAAAAGTGGTTTTCTTTGTGTGTGCAAATGTAAGAAATATGCGTATCAGTGGAATTTTTAAAGTTAAAAATATATCAGATAGCCAACTACATAAATCAAGAAATGATCGTCAAAATGTTACAAGCATAGCTGGAGGAAACATTTTAAAAATAGCTCACATGTTTAACAAGTAAAAACAAAGATACCACAGGAAGTGTGTGTGTGTGTGTGTGTGTGTGTGTGTGTGTGTGTGTGTGTGTGTGTGTGTTCTCAAACACACATTTATATTCAGGTGAGCATGCCCATGCAATCATGAAGAAGAGAACATCAGGAAGCTTTCTGTCTATCTTCATCCTGTATTTTGGAAACTGAGTCTCTCACTGCAACTAGAGCTCACCAATTGGAGTAGTCTTGCTGGCCAGTGAATCCCAGAGACCCTCCTGTCTTCACCCTCTTTGTTCTGGGATTGCAGGTATGCACTCCCACACCTGACTTTGCATATGGCACTAGGGATCTGAACTCCGTCCTCATGCTTGCACAGCAAACACTTTACCAAAAACGGAGACTTCCTCTCAGACCTGGGGAAATACTTTTTAAATGGAGAAAATAATAATAACCTTGTGTCTTCCTTTTAAAAAAAAAACATGTGAACATTAGCTAATAGCTTATTCCTTAAAGAGAGTTCCTACTGAAATTTTTATACTGAAAATTAACATTTCTCTTTTGATGCCACTGAGTCATCAACTCTTTTGTCACTAATTCCCAGCACAGAATCTTGGGATTTGTGTACATAATGTAAAATAAAGGCAGTGAAGCCTAGGGGGACCTGAGTGAACCTCTGGTTTCTCTTGCTTTCAGAGGCCAGGTAGTTAAGCAGTACATGATCACTAGCCTCACATGGAGAGTGGCTCTGCTATGGTTTGCATATGAAATATCCCCACTGGCTCCTGTGCTGAATGCTTAGTCCCCAGCAGGTGGTGCTGTATAGAAAGGTGGTGGAAACTTCAGGGCTTGAGGCCTAGCTGGAGGAAGCAGCAGGTCACTCACTCTGCCTGACTTTGGTCCCACTGTATCTTGTCCCAGGAGTTTCTACATCTTTCTCTTCTTCTGCTTCCTGTTGGCCACGAAGTGAAGAATGCCACATGCCACACACTCCTGGATGTCCTACCCAAGTGATTGAAGAAATAATAGACAAAAGAAACAGTTCTTGACTCCAAGGAACACAAGAGATGATTTATTCCAGAGCCAAATATAAATGACCACAGCCTGGGAACACAAATGCAGGTATTCCCCCAATATGTTTAAGTGAAATAGCGATATCATAAAGTTCTTATAACAACTGAACAAAGAACATCATGTCAACTCATTTTTAAAATGTTTGGATGGGTGCACTGGAGAGGCAGGTTTTAGTAAAGTGGGGAAAACATGCCCATACCCCTCAGATACTATCTGACTGCACTCTGACTCTTTTGGTTGGTGAGGAACTAGTTATGTTTGTGAACATTGCAAAGGATGTACCTGTCATAGAGTTTCTATTGCTGTAAAGAGACTCCATGACCATAGCAATTCTTATAAAGGACAACATTTAATTGGGTGGCTTATATTTCCAGAGGTTTAGCCCATTCTTATCATGGTGGGACATGGCAGTGTGCAGGCAGACATAGTGCTGGAGAAGTAGCTGAGAGTCCCACATCTTCACTTGCAGGTAACGGGAAGTGGTCTGTCTTATTGGGAGTAGCTTGAGCATAGGAGACCTCAAAGCACACCCCCCACAGTGACACATTTCCTTCAACAAGATCATGCCTGCTCCAACAAAGCCACACCTCCTAATAGTGCCACTCCCTTTGGGGTCATTTTCTTGCAAACCACCAAAGGACCTAATAGTCTCAAAGATGTTAGGTCATTTACAGAGAAGGGCAATAAATGTCTATTAAGAACATTAAAGATG